ACTTTCATGACAAGCAGGTAAAAGCAGTTAGAGAATTAATCAGTCAGGTTAAACTACTGCTGTGTGTTTTACTTGAGTTGTAATCCTTTCCTAAATTCCTCCTGTCTCGAGCATTTCATACCAAACTCATCTGCACTTCCTGAGCTCAGTCTCACATTAAGAAAGGTCAAATAAGGTGACCAGGGCAGACATTGGATTTCTTTATCAACACTGTTTTTTGCTACCAGGCTTGCAGTTTTGCAGCAACACTCAGTGATTGCTCTTAAACTGCTTTGGAGTGCAGTAATTGCCTGCACCTTTTCTGTCAAGGTATATTGTAGGTCCTTACCACAAGCTCATACCACATAGCCTGGAGTACAGCTGCTGTCCATAAACCAGAAATTGAGCTACTGCGTCCAATGGCACCGTGCCTCATCCTTCAAAGGAGATATTAATCATGTTCTGGACATTTTTGTATTACTTGGAGATAATTTATTTCAGTTTTCCTATTTGATTTCGCTAAGGTTATTTCAAGACTCTCTTACATTCCAGCTTATTCAGAGTTGGTCTGCAGAGAAGCTTGGAGAGTCAGAGCACAGAGAACTTTAAGTCTCATAATTTTCTCCTAATAAATGAAATAGCCACAATAAAGCCAAGGCTTCACTACAAACCCCTCCTTCAGTTGTGCACTCATTGATTTTGGGGGCTCAACCCAGCCTTGGCCCCATGTGTTTTGAAAGATGCTTTTGAACAACTGTGTCTGGTGGCAGATTGCCCCCCACAGGTACAGCTTAAAAGAGGAAGCACAGCAGCTCCACAACATGGGCTCATGTGGACTGCCTCCAAAAATACACCTCCAAGTGAGCTAAACCATTGCAGCAATGGGAGAGGCAGGAGCAGGGTTACAGGAGATGGGCAGCTATGGCAAGATCAGACCAGCCTCAAAGTCCTTATGACATGAAGAGTTCAAGATGGACTTAGCAAATAAATGTCATTGTTATTTCTATTTTTAAAAATTTAATAATATGAGCAATGTGTTGTTTATTTTGTGAAATTGCAGATACTTCTCTTTAGTGCCATTTTGTTTACTTGGAAAGAATCACATCCTTTTTTCTTGGTACAGAAGAGCTTGGAAAACAATTACTACACAACCCACACCAAAGCATATGTAAAAGATTCCTGAGAAGCATGTGATCAATTAATATGTTTTGTGAAATCAAGTTATCTTCAGATATTATTCACAAAATTTCCCAGAAAAAAAGAAACTTAACCTCAGTTTATGGTGATAGAGCATTCATCTATTAAAGGAGGAATGGAGCATTCCTCTATTAAAGGAGAAATTTACTCCTGTGCAGGTGCCTTCATGACTCTTTGTGAAAGTAAAAGCTACTGTCACTACCTGCACCACATTGTCTGTGGTACTCAGATGCTTCTTCCAAACTCTTAGTATACAGTACTTCAGAAGTGCACATGTACTTTAAACTTCTGATTCATCCCTTTTTAATACTGCTGCAATGGAGCTGAGGTCAGCAGGATGACTTCTGAAGGTATATCCATGAAAAGGAGAGGGAATTACAGCTTGAGGCTGCCACCAGTTTGCTGAGAAGAGCCAAGAGCAGAAGCCAGCTGAGGAAGGGGTGCTCAGTTTATGAGGCTGGGGCTCTATCTCAGAGTGAAGCAGAAGTAAGGGGCAACTCTTAGAACAGAAAGTGCAAAAAGTAGTCAATATTTTGGCAATACTGCATCTCTAAATGGTAGAAATCTTGCAACAAGCTTTAACTCTGGGAGATTTTCACTGCTTTGAGTGAGAAGTAAGGGATCCTTCAGGCGAAGTGCAAAACCACAGAGATCCAAGGCTTTGAAACTTGACAGGTTTCTCAGCTTTCTGATGAACCACATGGTACCTGGTATCAGCTGTTTGGCCTCTTCTATACCACTGATACTACTGGTATTTAGCCTTCCTGTCTCTGGAAGAATTACAACCAAAAAGATGCAGAAGAAAAATTTTAAAGTCCAGTCTCCTGTTCACTCTAAGGGCTACTTCACAGGAGAGGTGAAAACTTCTCCCCCAAAAAAGGGAAAGAGGTTTCATTTCTTTATTCTCTTACCTAGTGGGTTCTTTGGGGATTTCCATTTGAAAAGAGAAATCACAATGAAATACAGTCTTCTCATCAGAAAACTATACTTCCCTAAATCACCAAATATCAACAGAGTTTCTATGAGGAAAAGAAATAGTAAAACAATGAATCACCCTTATTTGGCAGTGCAATGCCAAGAAGATTCTGAAGGAATTTTTTTTGTCTATATGGAGCACAACCTCTGTACCATCATCATGATCCTGGAATCCTGACTGAAAAGCGGGATGGAATGAGAATGGCTCTACAAAATATCCAGGGACAAGAAGCAGCTGGCAAGTTTATTCAAAATAGTAAGCTGGTTGCAACTTGAAGTTTGCTATGTTGCAACTTGAATTTTAACTGAAGGAAGGCTCTCCATAAAATCAAAACTCTATATGTCAAGGCAAATTCAGATTTCAGTTTACATCTGAATGCATTAACTGTGTGGAGTCTAATGAGTTGAAGTGAGGTAAGGAGGGGAATTTGTTCCTGCTCTTCGAAGGCTTTAGGAGGAGCCAGCTCTCCGAAAGGGACAAGCAGCTGTCACTGCAGCATGGCACACAGATCACTGCTGATGTGTCAGCCCAGAAAGGAAAGAGATTTTCTGAAGTTAAAGAATAGATGTTTGGAAAAACCCTGCCAGTCCACAGTGGTCATCAGGTTATTCAGCTGGGGTGTTTCACATATTTTCAGGAGTGTAACACCCAACTTCCAATTTACTTGCATTCCACAGCAAGAGAGTATCTCTGGGGGTGCTCAGAGGTCTCCTACCCTGACACTTACAGAATACCAGGGATGAGTGAAGGTAACATCGTCAGTCTGAGTCAACCCAGACATACCAGCTTACTTGTCAAGGAAGGTCAAGTTCTAAATTATTTTAAAGCATTTAGATATATTTTAATTTTATTTCTGAAAATAGTTTAGAAGGCAGTATAGTAATGTAGTTAAAAAGCTAAAAAACTAATTAATTCTGTGACACAGAGGATTTACCATCTCCCCTTGTACTAGGTAGAATCCTTTGGCTTTTTTAACACAAATTAATTCAATTTCCTTTAAACTTAAAATCTGGGGTACTTACCCTAAATGAGAAAGGAAGCAAAGGAGAGACCACTTCTGTACCTAGTGTGCTCTTGTCAACACAGTGCAGGATGGAGAACTGAGAGGCTTTCTACCAATTGACGTGCAACACTGACAGAACTCAAGCTAAAAATAATGTGAATATCCACCACAGGAATGCATGAGTCTCGTGGCTGCTGGGATTGTTGCATGTGAAGGCAGCTCTCCTGCTTTACAAATGAGAGATAAATTTTAACTACCCTCCTCCACTTTGCAACTTGTATGAATGTGGTGGAAACTGATTTAATTCTTGCTTCCACCAGGAAGCTTTTGTCCCAGTACATCCTTTGCAATAAGGTAGTGATAAATTAGAAAATGCAAGCAAGTTGGAAAAGCATGGCAGCAAAGTCTCTCTAGATAGCCTAGCTCAGTGACATTTTTGTACTACCTTTTACTTTGCCTGTCCTAAAAGAAATCTGATTTTATGGCACAGGACATGAGTGAAGATGTAACGTTTCTATAAATTACATATTTTAGGATTACATGCTTTGATTTTTTAAACTTTTATCCAAAGGAAAACTTGGATCATCAAAAACCAATTCCCCACCATGAAAAATTTAAGTCCTAAGCCGAGTTCAAATAGCTAAATAAAGAAAAGGTTTCTCTACCCTGCAGCTAGCCCTTGCCCTTGTATTCTTAATTGAACACCTGAAGTTGTGGCAAAAGGTTTACTGCTCCTGCCCTCCCACGGTAGCACTGAACACTGAACTCCTCTGCAGCTGGGTGCTCCCAGGAGCAGGCAGATGAGAGAGAAAGCTTCCCAGGGGGATGCAGCAGCCAGGGAACTGCACCCTGTGCAGGAGCAGTGCTGTGACAGATTGTTGTCTGGTCTTGAGATTAGAACAGTTTAAGAGATTCTGGCTTTAAAGTCTGTTTACAATGCAGAGGTATGTGAAGAAATATAGGAGAAGGAAAAACTATTTGAGGAACTGTAAAAGTTCATTTGAACAAGGGGAAAGTGATGTTGCACACTGATCTGCAGAAACACAAGGTTTTTAGTAAAGAATAGAACAGTTTCACTGGGGAGCTGGCTTTGGGACAGAGCTCAGTGGCAGATGATTTAAATGTGTTCAGATAAATAAATAGCATGAAGTTATTTTTATTAACTCTTTTGAGTGTGTGTTTCTATGACTATTCTAAAACTCAGGTATTTCCAAATATTCCTTTGAAAGTGGAAATCATGTACCTTACACATCCATTTACATAGAGGGCTGGATTAGACGTGGCTGATGTTGAACTGGGTTAATTTTCACTTGCTCATGGCAGGCTTGGCTATCCAGCTGGGAATAGCATCGATCCCAGCAGCCACTTGCTTCCCTGGTTGGAAACAGTTTAGGAGTGACTTGTTGTTCAGTGTGACTGTTTGAGGTGCATGAAAAGGCAACGTAGCAGATGTTAGATGACTGGTGACCCCCAAATTCAGTGCCTTAAATAGAGAGAGTCAGTGAGTTAACCAGGCTTAATCTGCCAATGCTTTTCACTTCCCTCAAGACTTCCAGCTGGTGAAAGGCAGCTCCCCTCACTGGATCAAAGCACTGGCCTCCTCATCTGGAGGTGCTTTATTTCCCTATTGTGAGTCTGTAAATGATAACAGAAGGTGCAGAACCACAGGGGAGCTGAAGTAAAGCATCTGCAGGAAATATTAACTGAACTACATCATAAAAGCAAGACCTGCTGCCAGTCACAAGAGGAACCTTTTCAGAGCAAGTGAGATTACATAAATATTGGTGATCACAAGAGGACAGAGTACCTTAACCAGAGCAAGACCAGAAAATGTAAAGATCTTACTTGATTTTTCTTCTTTAATGTTGTACTCCAGCACACCAGGAGCCTCGTTCTGCACTGGCAGGCGGACTGCAAGGACCATGTTGCTCACATTGCCCTCTTTCCTAACTAAGAATATCTGAAAAAGGAGAAAAGAATCAAGAGCTCAGCTACATTATATGAGCTTCTAAACTTTATTTTAGATCATTGGCAATGTAGATTTTATCAGTTCAATCCACCTTTAAATAGCCTTATTTTAGCTTCATTCCACTTAGCTAAGCTTTATACAACAAAAAATAATGGAGAAAGGGACATTTCATCTAAGTGAAATTCAGACCTGTGAAGGGATTCACAAAATTTCTATGCATCACTGATGTCCCACTTATGCCTAAAGCAAACTATTTCACTAACTGAAGATTTAAAACTGCAGTCCCAGTTTGTTAAGTGATGGTCCTCACACCAGTGCCCTAAATCACAGATGAGTCACCCTAGAATGTCCCAGTCCAGGTCTAAAGCAAGGGAGTCACTTGTACATTTAGTTGGTAGGGATTTGAATGTCCATGAGAGGAACATAAGGCCAAAGGCTCTGGTGGCCACAGTGTCCATGGCAGAGCTTTTTATGGAACTATAAGATCATTCAGCCTGGCAGATATCCTGGGAGAATCCTTCTCCAAAGGAAGCCATGGGTGAAGCCATGAGGCCAGACCAAGTTTCTCAGGGATTTGTATGTACAAGTCTGGAGAGTGTCCAAAGCTGGAGACTGCACAGCCCTCTTGGAAACCTGTCCCACCACTTACTGTCCTCACAGGGACAAAATGCTTCCCTGCACCCAGTCTGGACCCCTCTGGTTTCAATGTACACTGCTGCCTCTTGTCCTCCCACCCTGCAGCACTGAGCACAGCCTGGCTTCATCTTCGCCGTGACCTCCCTGCAGGTACCAGGGGTTGCTGTGTGGTTCCCTGAAGGTGTTTCTGGCTGAACAAGCCCTGGTTCCACAGCCTCTCCTCAGTGGGTCTGTGCCCAGCTCGCTGGCCACCATCCCTACAGGCCCTTTCCCACAGAGCTGCTCCACCAAGCAAAAGGAAAAAATGCCTCATTCTTTGTATTATGTGAAATCTATTATGTGAGATCCTAAGTGTGTTTCTAATTAAAGCTCATTGTCAGGGATATTTTTAGCTTTTATTTTGAAGGTGCCAATACAAAGACAAAATAATCTTCACTTTCATCTGTTCTTTGACAGTAAGCTTAGGGAGAAAGGAGTCAAATTTTTAAAAAACTGAATTAAAAAAATCAAGCTAATTTTGTAGCCTGGATATTAATTTTAGAAAGAGAAGTGCGAGTTGATAAAATCATTAATCAACTGTAATATATACAAATTTAGCAAAAAACCATTAATTTCTTGGGCAGAGGAATGTTTAAAAAGCTTGTCTAGAAGCCAGGACTTTTCTCTGCATGAGTCCCAGCCATAAGGGTGTTTCCAGTCACTTTGAAGCACCCATGCTGAACACACAGCTTTGGGGCTGCTTCACAACAGGATGTGTGAACACGGTGCTGTCAACATGGCCTCTGAGTTCAGGAGAAATGGAGCCTCAGGGGCTCAGGTCCACCATCATGGCAGAGAAAAATGCAAATAACTGCACAGGTGTGTGCCCTAAACAGGCTGATTTCTAGTGCAAGGCAGTCCCCACCTCCTGTTGCAGTGTCTGCAGGTAAGGTACCTGCAGGGAGAGGCTCTTCCTTGGCCAGGTCCTACCACCCACATGGCAGCGCTGTCCCCACGACTGCCAGACAACACCATCTTATATTGCTACATCTGAAATTTAATCTAAGCAAGCAGGGAAATGAAACCTGGAAATGAATCACTTCTTTTTTCCTGATCGGCACGCCTGGTTGCCATGGATCCAGAGGCTAAAATTGGACTCTGGCTGTTCAGAGAAGTAGGAGATGGTTTTTCTGAGCTGTACGTAGCCCGGAGTACTGTACTTCCCCTGGGTCAGGGCTGGGATTGAAACCAGCCTCTTCTGTTTTCACCACAGGTGGGAATGGTGCTGCCCAGTTTCAGGTGGGCTCCCAGAGGGCAGGAGATTCTGCCCTTGCCGAGGGACAGCGGTGATGCACCGCCTCTCCTGCCGGCTGTGCCGGAGGCTGTGCCCAAGGACAGCGGGAGCAGGAGGAGCAGAGGCAGATGCTCCCCCAGAGCACTCAGCGCTGGGAATCCCTGCCTGCAGGGAAGGGACAGTGCCTCAGGAGGCCTGGGGCCACGCATGGCTCCAGCACAGTCATGCACATCTCCACTTACAGACAGAGCAGAAAAACAAAGAGGATTACTTCATCTAATGAAGAAATCTGATTCAGGGTGAGGCGCACTGCACAGTCCGGGCTGCTCAGGTGAATCCCACTGGAGGGTGTCACTCGGCTGTGCCAGCATTTAGCCCTGGGATAGAGTGACTTGGCCAAGGGACAGGTCCAAACTTCCTCAGAGCAGCTGTGCCCTGACATCAGCTCAGGTCATTTACACCTGCCCTTCCCAAAGGATCCAGCCAGGACATCCACAGCCAGCTGTGCCTCACCTCTCAGACCTCTCAGGAAAGGGGAGCAGCTCCCTTCAGCACAGAGCTGTTTTCCTTAAGCAAGCTCTAAGCTTTGCACAAGTGTATAATTCTCTATTTCTCTGTTTATGCAAACCAAATATCAATTGTTGCACTAAAAATTACTCCCAGCAGCTCCCTGAATCTAAGGTCCTTTCCTTCACAGATTTTTTTTCATTGCTCCATATCAGGATAATCACCACACTTGTGGGTATGGTGTTTAATGGGAAGCCATCTCCATTAATCTATGTGGTAAACAAATAAAACCGGAGATAATATTCCTTGTTTTCCCAAAGCCAATATATCTGTTTTGTGCTGTTGAGAGAGTTAAAGCATCAAATGGTAATGGAAACAGAGAACAGTCTGGTAAATATTTTTGCTTCCACATTAAAAAAAGCACTTCTCTCCTAACCAAGGACAGGAAATGTGGTTGTCTGAACTGAAATTGCTTTGGACTTACCCCTGCTGTTTCTTTGCCAAGGATCGCCCCAGCCGTTTCCTGGCTCATGTTCAGCTGAAGCCAGACAGGACACGTCTTGATGAGTTTGTCAAGGATGCTGATCCCTGGAAGCTGGAGGCAATTTCGCACAGCACTGGCCTGGCAGAGATGTGTCTCTTTCCCCTCTTCACTGGTATCTCCAACGGGGCTGAAACACAGCAAGGGAGTCCCTGGTAAGCAGAGCTGCAAACAGAAAACTGGGGGGAGTAAGGACTGTAAGTGCAAACACAGACATCAAAGGATGTAAGGACTGTAAGTGCAAACTCTTAGGCATCAGGAATGCTCCTTGAGGGGCATCAAAGCACAGGCACGTTGTTCTGACAGCAGGCTGGCAGGGTCTGTGCTGAGCTCTGCTGGTTTTGGCTCGCCCATCGATGCTGCCGAAGTCCAGGTGCCCACAGACACAGTAAGGGATGCACAGTGGTGGCCAGGGCCACAGAGGGTTGAGCATGCCTGTCCCCTGGAGATGTTTCGTGCTTTCAAAAGGAGTGATGCAGCAGAGGAGTGCCTGCAGTCTAATGGCAGACTGGCGTTAAATACTGGCTTCAAGCTATGGTGCTGATTTGATGAAGTCAATTTATACATGTGCTTAGCTCTGCAGGCAGTGGAAATACTTGTGCTGAAAAGTCTGGTCACAAGAGCTCTGCTGGATAAGACCATGGACTCATGGGGATACAGGCTTGTCATTCATTTGATTAATTGATTTTATATTTTAAGAAAAGGTAGGGGAACATACACAAAAAGTGTTTTGCTGCTCTAATTTCCTGCTTAGAGGTCAGAACTGAAAATAGGACTCTCATTTTTTATTTGGTCTTACTTCAAATATTTTTCCTTTTCCTTTTATTTTTAAAGATACAGATCTTAAGGTACTACATTTCAAATAAGGTCAGTCTTAAAATTCTAAAAGAGAGTAATTTCAAAGGCCTAACCTAACACAGCAAGTCTGTCCCAAAAGTCAGTTTGTGTAAAAATAGCCTTTCAAATCCCAAAAGCAACACAGAGATTTTATTTTTAGATTTTTTTTTTTCTTTTTGAGCCCTTCACAGACAGCTTTCTCAGAAAATACAGGTGCCTCTGTAATTCAGGTTGTAGATTAAGGGTATTATTTCACATAATCTTGATTTTAATCAATCCTTTTTAAAGATCATATTCAAGACAGTAGGAATGAGAGAACTGTCCTTTAAAAAAAAGCAAATTGAAATAAATGAAACGCTCTCCCTACTTGTGATAAAAGCCCAGCTTGTCACATAGGTGAGGGAATTTCTTTTAGGTGTAACAGCATGTGATTTTAATCAATATCATCTGAACATATTGAGAAAAACAATGGAATACAGCTTTTGGAAGTTACCCTCAGTCATCTCTTCGGGTTTTTTTGCAGAAGAAACAACCAAAAAAGCCTTTTAATTATCTGAAAGGAAAATATGTGTTGGATGGCAATATTCATACTCTGTAGTGGGAAAGAAGTAATGAAGGGAAAGAAAGTTGACATATAATGAAATGTTCCATAACAGCAAAAATTACTCCCCTAATTAGTCACAAAGACATGAACCTGATCACATCTGAATGATGCGTGAAACCTCAGTCAAAAGGAGGTCAATGCTGATAATGTCCTGCTGTGTCACCAAAAGGTGCATTTATGGCCTTAGTTCCTGTCCTGAGGAACTTTGTTACCATTAATTATGTAAGGTGGGGTCAGCAAAGCTCTGATGCTCAGGAATCCCGTTGCCTGGAGGGAAATGAGGGTTATTAACAAAGTCAGGAAAGTACCAAACCAGCTTGGACGTGCTGAGCATCAGGCACACAGCGACCCTGGCACAGGGCTCCCCACAGGAGGTGCAGGCATCCAGCCCTCTGCTCCCTCCCACGGGCACAACCTGTGAGAGCCCTGCTCACAGCACCTGCTGCAGTTTGGCAACAAGAACAGACTGGTGAGGAAAAATAACAGAACTGACCTTCCAATACATGTGCCTGCATGCAAGGTCTAAATTTTTGGAGAATGGATAGAAAATTGAAAATAATTCCAAACTCAGGCTTACAAGATTAAGAAGTAAGAGCCTGAAAGTGCTTGCCCTAATGGAAAATCTCATTATTTGAGTGGGTGGAGTCTTTCAGGTCAGCAAATTTAGAGCAGTGGATAAGGCTTTTTTTTTTTTTTTTTTTTTTTTTTTTTTTTTTTTTTTTTTTTTTTTTTTTTTTTTTTTTTTTTTTTTTTTTTTGGCAGAACAGCCAGTCCAATATTTTGTAAGCCCTCAGGGATGAGGTATTCTCCCAAAAGCCAGACCAGCTTGAAAGGAGCTAAGCAGACTCTTGTACCTGTAGCAAAGGAGGAAAGCAGGGATGAGTGAAAGGGGAGACTGTGGCAAAAGGAGAGTCAGGAAGAGTCATTAAGGGGATCATATGGAATCAGGGAAATATTTGGTGAGACGTTTCCTGTGAGTGAGTTATAAGAGATGATGGATAAATTCCCAAAAGAAGAGGAAGGTGATTGCATTGCTGAAATCTCTTAAAATGCTGGCTTTGGAGCAGTAGCACATACTTTATTGAATCAAATCTGTACTGGCTAAGGAAAGGGAGTGAATGACCTCCCAGACCTTCCTCAGCTGTCATGCTCTGACCCATGACACAGCAGCTGACGCAGTTATGGCACCGACGCTTGACTTCTGTCCTGGGCACAGCTGTCACAAAGATTTGGATGGGGCTGTGGGAATGCTTAATCCAGCAATTTAATCTGGCTCTGGGGTAGCTCTGTGGCTGCACAGAGAGGAGGGAGCCCAGGCAGCTCCTGGGCTCTTGCTGTGCTGCTAGTTGAAGGAATTTCCAGGGCCACCATGGTGAGCAGCTGGCCTTTCTGGTTTGCTCACTCAGAATTCATGCATCAGATGATTTCTAAAGCCTCCATTTTCAAAAATACATAAAACTCTGTTCTTGTCCCACAGTCCTGCAAAACCCTTTGGCTGATAGAGGCAGGGGCTCATTTTGCTAGGTGTGACATGAAGCTGAAAAGCTGTCACTAGAGCTGACTGCTTTCCTTTTATTGAGTTCTTAATGCAAAGTTCTTTTAAATCTTACAGTGGTTCTAGGCTAAATTAGATTCAGTTGGGAAGCAGGGAGCTGTGTGCTGCATACTGATTGGCAGCACAGGCTAATTAATTACACAGTGATTACATTCACACACCTGCCCCGGGCTTGCAGAAGGTATCAGGTTGCTTGTTGGAGGCAATAATAATGACAATGGTGGTTTGAATTATAGCACAGTGACTGTACACTGCAGTAATGACCACCATGACTCACTGCTTTAAAATCCAGGAGCCACACTTGCCAATTGAATATTCCCAGAAATCAGCAGACTGGCAAGGAGATATAATCCACTGAATTTTGTGCAGGTAAAAGCCTGAGCAAGGCGTTTCAAAAATATTGTCACAACAAACCTGCTGATAGTAAGGGCTTCCTGGCTGGACTATATGTGGCTGGTCACTCTGAATTTCCCTGAGGCAGCTGGGACATACAGCAATTGTGTGAAACAGCAGCAGGGATTGCCAAGTCTTCACTTAAGACACTTCACTTAAGTCTTCACTCCTGCACATTTGTTCTGAGAAGAGCCATAATGTGTTTTTAAAATTAAATCTTAAATTGTAAATCAAATGCTCTGTAGTGCACTGGTAAAGTAATGACGGAGTGCCTTAGTATTGTTTAAACAGACCCAATTTAAGATTTAGGAGCTAGTCTTTTTTTATTATGTTTTATTGCTTTTGCTTCTCCCTCTGAAAATGAGAAGACATCAAGAAAGTGCAAGAGCAAGGGTTTGCTGTGCTGTCCTCAAGGAGAGAGAGACATATTTCTATTTCTATTTAATTTATATTTAAGCAGGAACCACAGATCTTAAAATATGTGCAAGCTGGCTTGATACTGAGGGAGAAATACAGACACCCAGTCACAAACTCCATGTGCCAGGTGCAACTTTTTACACCAAAGCTACCTGGTACCTGAAGGGATATCATTTGGGATAAGCCAGCTTGTGACTTAATCTGACATGTGGAAACCCTTCAAGCCCAATGGTTATAAGGAGCACCTGAAACAGGAGGAAAACATAGAAGCTGCTGAAGCCAACAGAGCAGTCCTGATGGAACTGATAGGAAGTGCTGTTATTTCCTGTGTTTAAAAGAGACAGTTGGGAGCGTGGAGCTTCATGGAGATGGGGGAGATGACAGTGCTGAGATGGGTGAGACTGGGAGAAGACTCACAGGGCTGGTTTACATCCTGTGTCACAACCAACCCAGCTGCACTCAGCTGCAGGGCTCTGTGCCACTGGCAATAGAGGCAGATCTCTGTATCCTTTTATTTTTCATGGTCACCTTCTTTCCTTCCAGGAATAGGAGTTTCATGAACAGAAACTAAAGTACAAGGTTTTACCCATTGCACAAAACAGAGCTGCCTAGGCTTTCTTTGGTTTAGTATCACTTCTGATTAGACAGGTGTTGAGGGACACATTGAATGGAGGGATCTTGGTGTCCATACTGCACAGACTTACTAAAAATCTTTGTTCAGACACATGTGAATTCATGTGCTGTTACTTTCAGTTAGCTGAGAGAAATTATGCAGTGCCACAGCTAGAGGACATCAAGCTTCATTTTGCTTCCATCCTAGAAATGGCCAATTTTTTATACCATCTACTTACTCTCATAAGCCAGTCCATCGTTGATCACTTCATCAGTTCAGATAGAATTAATCTGAGATGGAGGGGAAGAATTCATTTACCCTCTGGATTTGCCTTTGGTCACTTTGCTGGGTTCTTCTTTCTTCCAACTGGTGTTGGAAGTGAGACCCTGAACCCAACCTACCTGCAGAAAGAGCTCCAACATCTTTGAAATTCTCTCGTTTCATCATAAAAAGAGTATTAGGAAGATGGGAGGGCAGCAAAGTGATATATTAAAAAACCCATAGCACGAAAGCTAATTTTGTGCACCAAATGTGAACCGTGAATTGCAGAAAATTCAGGTTTTAATAAGTGCTTTTTTGTAACAGAGCCAAAGGATCTTACTTAAGTCAAACCAACAAACTGGAATAAAATGACCAACAATGAAAAACCCAAAAGTAGAAAGAGATGTTCTTGAGATCTTCAGGTAATTGTCACCCTCTAATAAGAAATAAACGAATTTCTTGTTGTCTGACAGGCAGAAAAAGGGGGAAAAGAAGTAGGATGTAAAGCAAGCCATGGGATCTTCCTGAATTGCAAGCTTCTTGGATTTACAGAAAAATTGGATCATGGAAATGATGTGAGAAGCTTGGCATGTCCCATGAGGCAGGCTTGCCTGTCCAGTGTCCTCCCTACTTTGCAGAATGCTTGTGTTACTGGTCCACCCTGGTGACAGGTTTATAGCTCAGGAAGTTGTGCTTCTCAGCCTGTGGTCTGTGGAAAGCCTGTGGTTGGCAGAGCATTTCCTCCTGCTCACTGGTCCCCTTGTTCCTTCTCTGCTGAATTGTCCACCCTTCCACCCTCTGGTCTTTGGTCTACAGTTGATGCTCTGCACGTCCAGGAGTTTTGGTTCAGCCTGGGATGGACCAAGTTTAATAGCCAATGCAGCAGCTGTTCCAGCTGCCAAAAGGTAAGAAAAACCAAGGGTCTCCTAAATATCCTGACACCTCACAGCTCAGCAAAACTCTCTGTCTCCCACCTCCTCTGCTTTCTGTTACAGGTGCTGTCAATTTCAGCAGTGAATTTTGCACTCTGCAATTGAAGTCTCAGTTCCAGTGAGCTTTTCTGTACCTGCCAGGGATTCCCAAGTGCCCACTTCTGTGAGGACTAGCAGGTTTGCAAGCATCTGGGCCCTGTTTGCTCATGTTCATCTAAGTTTGCTAAAGCAGAGCAAGTCATTGCCCTGTTAGGGAGCTCCATTAAAGGCACAGAGGAATCAGGTGTGGGACAGCTCATCTACCCTTAAACCACTCACCAGTGAAAACCAACAGAGGAAGTTACAAAAATGAACAAGTTCTACTACACTTCATGGGGCAAAAAGGTGTCATGGTCACTTGTGCAGGTAGAAGAGCTCTAAATCATGTGTCAATTTATTAAGTAACAATGGCCACAGAGTTTTCTCTTCACATGTGGCACCAGACTGGTGTCTTCTATAGTACATGGCTTGGTTTGAAGGTCTGAGGGGTCAGCAGCACACTGGAGGAGCTGTGTGGCCATGCACTGCAGAGCACAGCAAGGACAGCTGGGCTAGCTTGAAGGAGCTGAGCCTCAGGAGCAGGCTCTGCACAAACACAGTGACTGAGCTCTGCTAAGCCCTGGTGCCCTGGCTGCTGCCATCACCAGGTTTAAAGCTAACACATGTGTTTTCCTCATTACTTCATAATGCAGGCAAAGGAGGTGACTGCAGCTTATCTGCCTTTGAGCTCTGTAGAGCCTTGCCCCCACTGGAAGGTGGGGAGCCAGGTCAGCTCTGCAGAAGCCTGGCTGGGTGAGAGCTGCTGGTGTTGTGAAGGACATGTCACCACTGTCCCTCACAGAGCACAGACCTGGTGCTAGGCCCAGGTGGTTCTCTTAGGGCAGGAGCAGCAGGGCCAAGTAACTCAGGAACAAAGAACTAAGGGGTGCCTGCAGTGCTTCCCATGAACCCTCCAATGCTTCTTCTTCCTAAATTAATCAAGCTTAATTGTAAGTGCTTATAGAGAAGCAGCAGCAATATCCCTGTCAGACCCTCTTGTTTGACCTTGTGAACAATCTTTCAGCAAAGAGTTCTCTCAAGGGGTGGGATGCTGTAACTAAATGCTTATTAAGTTCCCAGCTTCTCTGTGTTTCCTAGGTTCATTAGGTCTAATGCCCCTATGTTTAAATACACAAAGTCATGCATACTATAAAGAACCACATAAATATGCATAAAACCCCAAACAAAGTACAAGCTAATTCTCATTACTGATAGCTCCCAGGTCAGCTCTGCTAACAAACAAGCCTTCTCACACACACTCACAGCCATGGCATGGACAGAAACAACATAAAAAACAGACATCCAAACATTTCCTGAAGGAAGAACCCTTCTTTCAAAGATTCCCCTGCTTTGTTTCCCCTTTCAGTCTAGCCATTTCCTGCATTTATTAACACCAATGGAATATGCTGCCTGTGGCCCCACACTGGGCTGGGGCTATTATATCCTATTTGTATAATATGTCTTGGATAGTATTCACAAACTGTACTGCTGCCATTATGTAACTTTGCATATTTATTTTTGCAAATTTATTTTGTATTTATTTCACATACATATTTTGCAGTCAGCAATTTGTCTCACAAACATCAACTGTATTTTTCTTTTTACTCAGCCAAAACATACTTTGTCAAGTCAAAACCACTTTGCAGGTTTTATTAGCTGTACTCCTTTCCTAACAACAATCAGTTAATGGTCAGTTGTTCTCCCCCATATTTACAATCAGAGATATTCAGGGCATTTGTCCTTTGCCTATTTCAAACCCAAATTATTCTCTTAGGAATGTCAGCATATCAGCAAAACTGAAGATCTTTCTTTGTGTGCAGGCAAGGAAGGATCATTTATATTTCAGCACAGCCCTTTCAGTGCAAAGAGAAGAGAGCTGCTGAAACACCAGCCAAGGCAGGGTCAGAGTGGCTAGAGAACAGACATTTTCCTCAACAAAAAACTGCAAACATGTTTGCTGGATAATCCAACTTCTCTGGAAAGGCTTGTGCAGTGCAGAAACCAGAAGCAAATGTTGTGAAGGAGAAAAACAGCTTCTTAGGCTTTAAGAGCATAAGGACACCCCAGACCTCCCTCACCCCCCACATCAGTGCTCAAGAGGGCCCTGTGGCAAGCACATTTCTCTCCCTCTCAGGATTTTTCATAGAGGTGCACAGAGAGAAATGAAAGAGAAAACAATTTGTATTTCTGCTCCTTGTTTTTCCCATGTGGAATGTGTTCGGAGAATTGTTTACCTGGAGTGATTTCTTTATTAGATTTTGGTGAGGATTGTTTGAGCCTGATGGCCAATCCAACCCACCTGTGGCTGGACTCTCGCGATAGGGTCACAAGTTGTGGGAGAGGTAGAGTCAGAGAAAGTAGTATGTAGTTTGAGTATCCTCCTTTTATGTAGTATATTAATGTATTTTAGCATAGTTATAATAAAGAAATAATTCAGCCTTCTGAATTGAGTCAGACATTGTCATTTCTTCCCATTGGGTTCACCTGCATTTACAATAGGGCCCAGCTGAGCCACGATCTGGAGAGAAAGGATCATTCTCTGCGTTCCAAAAACACCTGAATGCTGGAAGAACAGAGCACCCCTGCTTTTACTGCGGGGTCAAGGTGATGGGCAGAGGTTTTGCCCCTTTCCAGCTCATCTGGACAGGAAGGAAGATGGCAATGGAAACCCAGGGAATGCTTTTCTATATTGTAATCACCTAACAAAGGGGGGAAAAGGAAACGGAAAATAAAGGGGAGGGACAAATTTCTAATTCAAACTTCATTAAGAATAGACTGCAGTTTAGCTTTCATAAAGCCATTCTGTTTCAAACCCTATATATTAAAAATTATTTGAAATCTGCATAATGTCTTAAAGCAAAAAACCTGGGCAAAATATTTCAGACGTCAGACTAATGATAAAAAGCTATGGCCTTGCTCACCCTGTGGGGGGATTGAGTGTAGGTATGAGGCACACAAGACATGAGGCTAACCACACAAACTTGCATAGCACTGAGCAGTTTTCCTCTCCACTAAGAAATATCTGCAAATGCTTATCTCAGTCATAATTTGCAACTAGAAATGATTTTTTTGCCAAGGGAAATAAATCCACTGGTATTTCATTCTGCAGCATCTGAAGGAGCAGAGCACAGGACTTCTGAGATCTCCCCTCTCATAAGGCACCACACAAAGTGGGTTGCTCACACACAAATATTCATGTTTTGGGTAAGATTTCCTTCCAGTTTCAGTGTGAATGGATTTAAATATGCGGTGCTCTTAGTGAAAAAAAACCAAATATTTAAATCTGTGAACCTATCCTTTGTCTGTCCTCCTTAAGCCTTACTCCAGCAATTTCATATGCCTCTAATTTTGATTAGGCATTAAAGAAATGGGTTTATTTCTTACTTTATTACCTGATGGGAGCCCTGCCTGCATTTACACTGTGGCAAGGTTAGAGATCTGCCTTCCTGAGGGAAGGAGAGGAAGAAGAAAAGGACTCGTTCGGGTATTTCAGGGATACAGAAAGGTGGTGAAATGACATGATCTCTCACCCCCTTCTAGTGGTAAACACCTCCAGAACACCTGGAAACAACTCAGAGTGGGAGAGGTGTTCTAGTTTGCTAAGTTGTGCAACCTGTCTTGTGGGTGGGCATGGCCCTCGTCCTCCTGTGCTGGTGGGACAGCCTGGGACCAAAGGGCTGGTTAGAGGAGCAGTGTCAGAAACTGCTAAAATGTCCCTGCAGTGACTGGCAGCTCAGCATGTGACTACAGATCCTGCCAAGCAGCAAGATTAAACTTTCAGCTCCCCCAGACCCCACCAAACCACTGCTGGGACCTTAAGCTTGTTCATTTAATTGTGTTTATGGTCACTGCGTAGCCTGGGCTAAAATGTAGGTAAGTCATGAGCCACAAGCTTTGTGCTCAAAGACCACAAGGTAGTTGAAGACAATCCACAACATGGCTGTCTTGGTCATGTCCTGCCCAAAACATCTGTGCTGCAGCCACC